CAATTCAAGAAGGATGCAGACAATGCTGAGAGGGTCCAGAGGAGGGCAACTTTTATGGTTAGAGGCCTGTAGGGAAGGCTCTATGAGGAAAGGCTGAAGGACCTGGACCTTTTCAGCCTCCTCAAGAGAAGGCTGAGGGGGGATCTTGTGGCAGTATACAAATTCACGGGGGCGGGCAGTAGGGAATAGGAAATGCTGTTTACCAGAGCACCTCTTGGAATAACTAGAAACAACGGCCACAAACTGATAGAGAGTAGATTTAGGTTGGACATCAGAAAGAACTTCACAGTTAGGGTTGCCAAAATCTGGAACTGGCTTCCGAGGGAGGTGGTGCTCTCCTCTACCTTGAGGGTCTTCAAGAAGAGACTGGATAAGCACCTGACTGAAGTCACATGACCCCAGCACTTTTTCCTGCCGCTGGCAGGTGGTCAGACTCAATGATCCATTGAGGTCCCTTCTGACTCTAGCATCTAGGAATCTATGAAAAGAAGGTACAGTATGCTGTGTCAATGACATGGGCGTATGTATGTCTGCAGACCAATTTTAATGAAAGAGACACTTGGTGGGATGGAAGTAACAGATTATCAATGCAATCTAAAGTTAAAAAATCTCTATCAGAGATGAGAACTGCTGAGTGTGCCATGTAGACATATCACAGAGCCTAATGTAACACACCTCTGTTTTTTCCCCTGCATCGATTGTTTGTTTGGCAGACTGGGAAATTGCAATGGTTGAGGACTTTTATGTCAAAGCATTCATCCAGTAGCAAGAAATATGCATTTAAATGGCGTGCATCATATTGTATCCTGTCTTGCATTTAGGTGCTCTGCAAAATCTAGGCATGAATATTTCACTATCTGGAAATATTTTTCCATTTAATCCTTTATCTGAAAAAGAGTACAGGAGATGAGTCTATTACATACTAGAAATTTCATTTTTAATATATATCTAATGCAATTAAATTTCATGGTCCAAGGAACTATACAAACAACTAAGACAGTCCTTACCCAAAAGGCCATTATGATGATTAAGGAATGGTGTAAAATTATGCTTTAAAATAAGCAACCAAGATTTGCAGTGAAGGTCAGAATAAGAATGAGGAAGAAATAGTTCAGTCTGTGAGCCTTGTCTGTAAGGAAGAACTAAGG